CTCACCTTGGCAGGTGGGCGCCGACGGGCTTCTTAGACACAATGGGAACGCCTACGTACCGCCAGACTCTGCTTTGAGAGCAGAGATCTTGGAAGCCCATCACGATGACCCTACGGGTGGACATTGGGGTGTCTCTAAAACTTTAGAAATCTTGAGATCTAAATACTTCTGGCCTTCAATGAGGAAGGATGTAAAAACGCATATTAAAACATGCGCGGTATGCCAGCGTACCGCTGTCAAAAGGCATAAGCCCTACGGCGAGTTACAGACCCTCCCTATTCCCCATGGACCTTGGAAAGAGATAACTATGGATTTCATTACAGATCTACCCCCATCGAAATTGGGCAAGCATGTGTATGATGCGGTTTTAGTGGTTGTCGACAGGTTCACGAAGCTTGCCCGATACGTACCCGTTAATAAAACGATCACCTCACCGGAACTCGCTCAAACGCTGATGCAGAGTGTGTTTAAGGACTTCGGGGCACCGGAAGGTATCGTGTCAGATAGGGGACCACAGTTCGCAAGCAAGTTCTGGAGTAGTTTTCTTTTTTATCTGCGAATACGACGCAAGTTGTCTACTGCGTTCCACCCTCAGACCGACGGGCAAACGGAGCGACAGAACCAGAACCTGATTCACTATATCAGTTGTTACTCTAATTACCGACAAGACGATTGGTCTTCACTACTACCACTCGCAGAGTTCACTTATAATGCTACGTGGCATAGTACAATAAACACAAGCCCATTCCAAGCGATGTACGGATTCCTACCAACATTCCACTACATCGGCGAGGACGCCGATGCCACAGGGAGGGCACCAGCAGCACGCGAGCGAATCGCCTCCCTCAATGAAGAAAGGGAAAAATTGAGAGAACTGTGGCAAGCAGCTATAGACCGAAAGTCAAAGGATACAGATGGCACGATAACCCAGCGATACAACATCGGAGACAAAGTGATGCTAAGCACCCGAAATATCAAGCAACTTCGACCCAAAAAGAAGTTTTCGGACAGGTTCATAGGCCCTTTTCAAGTAATAGGTATAAAAACCAGTGGTCAAGCATATGAACTCAAGCTACCACCTACCTATAAGATTCACAATGTCTTTCACGTTTCCCTACTGGAACCATGGCATGAACGACAGGGTACCGCTGACCCACCGCCACCAGAGGAGATAGACGATCACTTGGAACACGAAGTGGAGAAGATCATAGCACATAGAAAGAGAGGCAGAGGTGTTCAATACCTAGTCCGATGGAAAGGCTACCAACCAGCGGAAGATACGTGGGAAGCCCCCCGCGATCTCGACAACGCGAAAGAAGTACTGGAAGAATACAATAAAAGAAGAGAACTACCAATACACAGCTCAAAAGAAAAAAGGAAAAAAGCTACAAGACAATAGGGTTCCGCTGCGTACCCACAAGCGAACCACCAGCAATACGAAGCTGTTCGCGACGTTCCTCCCTCCACTCCTTTCTACCCTGATAAGAACGAGGACGCAACCCTTCACTCGCCGGCATACCGCATGCTACTGCCAAGCGCACCAACTCATCCTGACGTCTCTGGAATGCTTCAGGCTTCAATTCATGAGTATCAGGGTCGATATTATCTGAATCTTCGTCGGTACTCGGCTGATGAGATTGTCGCCATTCCTTCCATAAAGCCTCGTCCCTAGCAAGAGTACGCCTTTGACTAACACGAGGACGCCGTCGTAAAGGCATCGCTACATTAGCGTGTTGAGAGGGTCCTATAGCAAGAATTAATCCTTCTACCCTACACATCAAGAAGATCCGGTGTAGAGAGGAGAACCCCAAAGATAGCATTACCTACATCGCTATCGCTTCGCTCACCCTCATCCGCCGAAGGCATATCCACTTCATCCTCATCCACACTTTCCTTCTCCTCCATTTTCACAAGGGCCTCGCTGGACTTTCGAACCTCCGTCGACGGGTTGTCGGCAACCCGCGGGCGTTTGCGGGATCGAACACTTTCAGGAGAACTCGCAACGGCGTCAGACTCTCCAGTGTAGACGGGACGACTCATGCGAGGAGCCTTAGCCTTTGGCGGAGCGCCAGTGTCCCGACGTCGAGAATCAGAGAGGGAACCAGCAGCAACCGACGCTGCCTTTTGTTTCGAAACTGCACGGGAAGCTTTACGAGGAGGAAGGATGGCTTGGGTGGCCGAGCTCCCGGTGGCGGATCGACGGGCAGAAGCTGTCGAATCTCCGGCAGCACGCTTCTTCGCCTGAGGGGTGGTAATACTGATGTCACCTTTAGAAATACGGGGAACATCAGAACGTTGAGGGGCACCGGTAACCTGGTGGAGAAAAGGGTCGTCCTCTTCGTCGCCACTAAGATCAGAAAGGGACTCATCAGGATACCTAAGGCGATCCTTCTTGGGCATAGAGGAACGAGTGCGGGAACGGGGGCGAGACGACGATTGAGTGTCGGTACGAGGGGGGATGCGGCCCTCCGAACCAGCTAGCATGTTCACGGCACCCGGAGCCTTACCTCCTGGGGGAGCAGGGGGCGGGGCGGGGGCGTTGACAGCGCGGGGGTGAACAACCGGAGCCATGAAGTCGCCCTCATCATCCGAATCTACTGCGGCTACCAGTCTCATGACGGAGCCTGGAACAGCGGCATCCAGTGCAGGCAAATTATTCTAGAATCCAAAGAAGTCAGCTGAGCACCACTATGGGGAGACGAAGGGTGACCGACGACAGCTCGATAAGAGTCCACAAGGCGCTCCATGAGATCGCCTATTCGATCCAACTTCTTTATGGCAAGCAGAGATAATGCCTCGAATGACTCTGGCTTTTTAGTACCACCCTGCTTATCCTCCTTTCGCAAAAAGGCCTCCACACTCCTGACGTAGCGCTCATTTCGACGTACCATCACAGTCTCGGCGTTCTCTTCCTCTTGACTACCAGCAGGAGTAGCCTGCCAAAAAGCTTGGGTTTGATACAGCAAGTTGACGTCGGGAATGTATCGGGGAGGCACCGACTGGCAGACCTTTTTCTGGGCACGACAGTAGCTACACTTAGCGTGAGGACCCTTGTCGTAGTGACAGAAATCTTCGGGGGCAGAGGACGCAATACGCTTGGAGCAACGAAGACATGTAGGGATAATCAAACCAGCAGGACCTACTGCAGACCGAGCCGCAATCGCCTGGGGGCCGATGGGTTGAGGGGCAGCCATGATAAGACAAGGACTAGTGAAAAGGTAGTAAAGAATGATCTGCTAGAAGGGGAAACGAACTCAGGAAATTGGAGGGAACTTATAGAGCCCCTGGTGATCTGCCAGTGAGAGCGGTGAACGCGTTGGAATGTTGTTTATTGATTGTTTGTGGCTTTATGGCGTTCTTACTTCCTTTTGGCATGCGGCACGGACGCGATCACTCGGCGTCCCATTTTCTTGTGTTACACGAGCCGAGTTCGGGAGGTAAACATACACGTCTCGGGACGCGACGTGCAATATGGGGGGCTCTGTCACGGTCAATCCGTGTAAGGGCTGGCGAGGGCACGTGAGTAGCCCCTGCGGGGCTACTTCGGGCCGACGCCAACCCGCGCACAATTATAAATTGTAGAATTTTCATAGTTTAGAAGGATTAATGAAAAGTCTTTGTGCTACATTACACCTAGTTGATTCATTGCTATTATCTACTCTAACACAAACTCACTCATTTTAAAATTCAATATTAAATCAATCAATATTATTATATATTTGAAATTTTATAAAAGTAATAAATTTTTATTAAAAATTTAATAACATAATTTTAATTTTCTTATTGAAATTTTCAATTAAATCAAAATTTATATTGAATTTTTATATTTAAAATTTTTATAAGAAATAATATTTATTTTAAGAATCGAATTTCTATATAGAATTTTATTATCAATTCAAATCTAAAATTAATGATTTTAATATGAAATTAATTATTGATTAAATCTCTTTATACTTTTCAAATTTCAAAAATATTATAATAAATATTTGAATTATTATATATTTATAAATATATAGAATAAAGCATGGTTTTGGTGAGGAAATTCGCTTAAATTTTAGTCCGACAATCATCAAAGACACGCCCTCGTATTATTATCGTAGGACGTATCAATCATTATTCTATTTTAATTATTATCCTAATAAGTTATATCAATATTCTATACTATTATAATTCTATTTTATCCCCTAGACTGTTACTCCATAGCATCTATATAGTCCGTACACTGAGCAAGAATATTAATAACCTTATAAATAATATTATATATAAAAGTTTTGATATTATATTTAAAGATTAGAATTTATTGAAAAAATTACATTAAATATATTAATTATATCTCTATAGTTTTTTAATTATAAAATAATAGTTTCAAGATTTATAAATATTATTATATTTTATCTTTGAAAATAAAAAAAAATTAATAAGCGATTTTTATACGATTTATATTAAAAAATATATATTAAATCAAAAGTTTAATATTTATTAGAAAAAAAAAACAAATAAAAGATTATATAAAGATTTTCAAAATATATTATTTGTTTTTATTAAAATTATAAGTGTTGAATCATTATTATAAAAAAACGTATCAAAATTATAAGAATTCTCAAAATCCTGATGATCTGATTGGTCAATTAGATCCTTTTAAGCGAAGGTGCCATGGAGTGACAGTCTAGGGGATATTATCGTTCCAATTTATTCTATTATTCTAATTAAAACCATGTCATCTCATCTCAACCCAACCTAAACCACATCAACATCCCAATTAATACCATTATTCCAATCCATTCACCAATTCTATCATCCCAATTACCATCTCATCTCATCTCAACCCAACCCAAATCATTATTCCCATTCATATCATTCCATCATTCCATTATTCCAATATACATCATCACCCTACTCGATATTCCAATTCCAATTCCAATTCCAATTCCAATTCCAATTCCAATTCCAATTCCAATTCCAATTCCAATTCCAATTCCAATTCCAATTCCAATTCCAATTCCAATTCCAATTCCAATTCCAATTCCAATTCCAATTCCAATTCCAATTCCAATTCCAATTCCAATTCCAATTCCAATTCCAATTCCAATTCCAATTCCAATTCCAACTCATGTCAAATCCCAATACACATCAATCAATATTCTGATTTATATTATCCAACCATTCTCCTACCCTCATATCTCACTACCTACATAACCATATGATTATCCTACTGCAGAGATTCTATACCCCCCCCCCTACAAACCCAACATTCCATTCCATTCCATTCCCAAAGTATGAAAATATAGAATAGACAAGATACCACCGAGACAAGATATCATTAGTTAAAATTATAATAATCGATATAATAATCAAAAATCAAAAATCATCAATTCGTAAACTTCATAACTACCATACACATCTCAATCTAACCTACAGTCCACAAAAAACCATGAGTTGAGAAGACTTGATTGATTGTTCGAGATACTTTTCAAAAAGGATTGTCTATCCTAACAAATTGCTCCAAAATCTCTAAAATTTGTTCAGGGAAAAAGAAAGAAGAATGAATCAAAGGGCTCGCCTTGCGAGAACGAAGGTTATGTATGTTTTATGTTTGTATGTTCCTCCACACCATCCACCACTAGCATCCCTACGATGCAGAGTCACCAGCTCACTGCACCCAGAGACAATGCTCGCCAGACACCCGTCTAATTCCTCTGCACATGTCTATGCACGTGTCTCGATTTTCTCTTGCTCGCGCCACTCTTGGAATAAACACTCAACGCCAACGAACCCCCACAAATCTCATTTGCATCTCCCTCGCACGCCATGGCACACTTACTCGCATCGAGTGTCTGGCTTGGTAAGCTTTGTCCACAGAAACATTGTCCTCCATATTCTGTTCCCGCAACACTATATCCCTTTTCTTCACAGTATGCTACACACGCTGAGTTGGACACAGCAGCTTTACCCACATCTGCAAATGTGACGCCAGAAAGCGCGCGGTTTGTTTCTTGATCTGCGTAACAGCCAGCATATGAGTAGCCGGAGATAGCAGCCGGAGTGCTAGAAGAGACGCTCGAGCCGGTGGGAAGAGCTTGTCCTGCGGTAACCGAGACGGTTTTGTAGATGAGTGTGGAAGTGTGGACGGTGAGGATGGATGTGAAGACTTGACCTCCGGATGTGATGACGCTGGAAGATACGACCTCGCTGGCAGCTGATGATGCAGCTGCGACCTTTGTGGAAGCGCCGCTGCGGGTGTGACTTTGAGAATGTTGGGATGAGGCGGAAGTTGGTGTTTGGTAGAGGGGGAGGGGGAGAGATATGCTTGGGATGGGAATACTTGCTGCTGATGTGGCAACTCCGAGTACAGATGATGCGACATTGGATACCGAAGCAGCGACTGATGAAGCACCAGCTACAACTGAAGAAACAGCTGAGGAAGCACCAACAGCTACTGCAGAAGCTTGGTAAGCAATACCAGAAGTAGCAGATGCGACGACGGAAGAAGCTACACTGGCAACAGCAGAACCCCATTTTCCGATAGGATTACTACCTGGTAACGCAGACATGGTACCGGTAACAATTTCATCGATTGGTGATTTGATAGTGCAAGATGTGGTTGGATCGTTGAGACCACCGATGAGACCTGGACATTTATCCATACCGCTATCGCCTGCGTCGCAGTTATCGATGATTTGTTGAAGAGTTTCTACGTCCCAACCCGAGATCTATGAATTTGTTAGTATATTGAATACATTTTGCTGGAGAAGATATCAACTTACAAAGTCAGCATGGAATCCATAACCAGTTGGATCTCCATTAGCAAGAACAAAAGGTTGTTTGCCTTGACCTGGCGTCCATTGACTTGCAAAGAGAGGAGTGTTGTAATAAACCTCATAGAAAATATGAGGAGTATGAATCCAGCCCTCAGGACAATTTCCCTTGGTAGGCCAATCCATGTTTGTCTTGTAATCAGTCAATCCCGCAGCAGGATTATAGCATGAAGGAAAGTGAGCATCGAGACGCATTGGTGAAGCGAATCCATTACAATCTTGATCTGGAAATCCAACACCTGCTCCCTTGTTTTGCGGGTCCTGAATTCCTACTCCGTGTAATCCGTCCGAGTCGGCGGGGTAAGATGGAGTATCGTAGTTGGTACGTGGACAGGTAACTTGGACTGGTTGAGGTGTTCCGAGCGAATAATCGACGATGGATCCTCCGCCTCCTGCTGGTGGAGTACGGAGAGTGGCATCTCCAACTAGCATTCGGTGACCTGGTTGGAAAGCGGTGATTTTGTCGGTTGTGGGCTCGAAGCTTTTGAGATATTAGTATGTCTCTTATCGAGATGTATAGCATCTGTCACTTACAAGTAGTAAACGTTCATATAGAACATGGGTACAGCTGTAATATTGGTGGGATCGTTTGGATCGACAAAATACAAAGAGGGGGTCCAATAATTGCTCTTATCATTCTTGACAAGGGAGGAAGTGCAGTTAGAATCATCCAAAGCAGTGGTATCCCCCATAGTCATGCCAAAAGCACTTCCTCCTTGGATCGTATGAACGTGTGTTCCAACGGTTCCTGGGTTAACTATTGGATCTATACGGGCGGTGAGAAGAGGTTCTGTTCCATAGAAGTGGTTGACAGCGAAAGTTCTTGCAGTTGCAGAGTATGCAGTGGCCGAAGCGGCGAATGTGCCCACGAGGGCCAATTTTGAGAAAACCATAATGACGGAGTGAGTGTAGATGAGGAGTTTGATTGTAGAATATGTACTTTGAAATGGATTCAAGTCTGATGGCGCTGGTATTTGTAAAGCGACTGTTTTGAAAGCTGAAGGATCGTTGAAAAGTGAATGAAAAACACAAGAGTGACTGGCCTCAATTGGTGTTTGATGGAATAGAAGATTCTGTATCAACAGAGGAGCAAATGAAGGAATGAATAATAGCACGCAGAGAAAGAATAAATGAATGTGGTGTACGAAAGTACGAAAGTGTGTTGAGGAGAAAGTTCACAAGAGGGTGAGGAAAGGAAACATAATACAGAAAAGTACGGAATCTTATATTATATGACCATGACCTGTAGTCTCTTACAATATGCAGTGTTACCCACCTCAACGCGGGAAACCATGTGAATATACGCTAGTACATGTATGAAGGAAGATTAAGGTAAAAGAGACTCAGCCCAGAATCGGGATGCAGGGGAAACTACTAGGTAGATAGAGGGACACGGTTCGATTTTCCCCATGTCTGATTCCTATTCGCGACCCAAGAATTCAAGAATTCAAGTGAAATGTTCCAACATGACAGGTCAGTTAATGAAACGTTTGGTAGGGAGTGTGAGAAAGGAAGAGATCCGGGCGGAAAGGTGCTCCAAGTGAATACCTAGTAGGTACTAGGTAGGTAGCTATGGAGGGAGGAGGCCATGTTGCAATGTTAATAAGGGTGGTCGAATCGTCGGGAATGGGAAATTTGTTGGTCTCTTGGTCTCTTGGTCTCTTGGTCTCTTGGTCTCTTGGTCTCTTGGTCTCTTGGTCTCTTGTTCCTGACGTCCGGATGAACCATCCGATTACATGGATCTCGTCAATCTTGCCATTGGGGGCTATTATCTGAGTTGACAACTTGAGTGGAAAGATATCGAGAAGGGGCAAACAGTTTGCAAGGGCATCAAATAATTCCAGATCCCTTTGAAATATCCCAGTCATTTCTATAATTACCCCATTGACCAAAACGCGATGTCCATTCTTAACTAATAACTCGGCCACTTGGCGTTTAGTTTACTGTTTTGAAACGGCAAACCCAGTCGAAGTCGAGAAGTCTAGATTCATTGGTTCCCATACAAATACAGGAAAAACACTCACCAATCAACCATCTCATCCAAGGGGCAGACCTTTCTTTTCTAGGGGGGAAAGGGCGCTTTTAATTTAACCTCATGAACATCTAGTGGATAAAATGATCTACTCTTAAGCTTTGGAAGTTTCGAAATATGTCCTATCCCATATCATTCTCATCGTATTTAGACTAATACCAACCAAATACACATTCATCGGATTTTCGAATTTAGAGTTGATTTGTCAAATGGGATAGAGTGGTACTGCACGTCATGAACATCATTTAAATTGTCCGACTGTGGAAGTGAATCTCTTTAATCAGGAAAACAGGAGATGATTCACATTCTCGTGGTCTATCATATCAGACTAGAAAATCATTGTGATATACCAATTACCTAATTAATCACAATTTTAAATCATTATTATCTTCTCTTGAATCCTCTTCGACTCACGGCCTTAAGAATTGACCGTCCGATAAGAACAAGGTCCGCACATCTACCTTCCTAGGTACCGGTCCCGTATGCAAAGCAATCAATCAAAATTCAGCCGAACCAACAAAAAGAAATCTCATTGGCATCTGGCACTTCCTGTCGGTCCCTGAGAAAATCCTATGAATACCCTTTAATCCTTTCAGCGTGACATTAGGAGTACACGATAACCATTGTAACGATGTCGATGTCTTTTTCTCATTCTCATGTCATGTTGATAAGCCTCGATGAAATCATGATAAGGATCATTCCATTCCATCGTGCCGAAGCTTGGCTCGCTTGGCTGGGTTATGGCCGAAATGAGCTTCTTGATCCTTTTGTAAGATCTTACTTTTGCTTCTGGGCAGGTGTGATTTGAATGTGGCGGGTGTTTCCATAATTGGGATGCACTGCACTACACATGTGAACAACAATTACAAGCACATCAAGTTCAAAAACACAGCATTTCACATAGGACAACCTTCAATCAACGATAAGCTTTCTCAATACCTTATCGAGGGATCCGTGGATAACATTAATTATGTGCAGTATTGTTGAGCTTCGACATGACCAAAGAACAGCTCCAAACAAATGTCCGTGAAGCGTTACAATCATCGGCGGCAAGGACACTATCTGATATTAGCCCCTCACTCCAACATATGTACGTGTGGTCATGATGTAAAAAGGGCGGCAATAATCTTTCTTTGGTCAGCCGCTCACTCTCAACTATTCGATTGATTCAGATTCCTACAGACTCAGGAACAGCTCGGTGATAACATCAGCGTCAACAACTCAATGGCACGAACAAGGAACTGGTGGAATTAATTTCAATAGAATACCAGTGTGTTTTCTCCATTGGTTTTCCGACCATGCCCTTGACTTGTACCTGAATCGTTCTCCTGCATGATGCAGTATCGTGCCGTTGTGCAATGTTACATCCTCAAGCACACGCGTCTGCGGTGAGTTGAAGAAAATAGACATCAGCGCAAAGATGGCTTCACCTCCAGTCCTACTTCGGAGAAAAAGATAAGATGCTAAACAAATTTTGATGCTATGATCTGTAACTAAGTGGGCATGTGGAAATTACTTCATGGGGAGATCGACGAATAAATCGCTCAGACCTTTCTGGACTTGTAAGGCTTACTCCATAAACTATCTGCTCACAGAACTTCTCATGCAGCTAACTACTTACACTGTCAGAATCTCTCATCATCTCATGATTCTCACCTGATACCCTTGGAGGTAAAGTCTTAACATACTGCCAAGCCAAAAACGAAAGAAGGAAACATGCAATTAATCAATGTTGTGTTCCCCGATCGAATATTCACGGATAGGAACATGAATTCGTGGCGAGTGCCAACAACTTGAGCTCATCTCCGCCATCGTGGTTTCGTGGTAAGAAGCCGTAAGACTCCCGTTCCCGCGCTCTATTCGAAACACTCTCGGAGACTTTTAGGTCCAATGATTGTAAAATTTGTCAGACGCCCAGATAAAGTACATGTGACGGCACTTGAGTATGTATCTTGTACCAAATCACTGGAATTTAGTGTGATACGCTCGCACCTCGTGAAGCATTGGCTGCGGGAGAAGGAGAGACGGCAATGGGTGGGGGGTTATGATTAGGTGAGGGATCAATTGAACTTTCAACTGTTCTTCCAATCGATGAAGGATGGCAGTTTTGGTTCCAATGTTTTAGCCCAACGGTAACGAAGAATTGGATTCTTAATATAAAGTACTTGAATACCATCAAATTTATATTTCACCAAAATGAAGGCTTCAAAGCCCGAGCTTGTCCTTTAAAAATGACTGATCTGGTAACCTAGACACACCAATATAGGTAAGGATGAAAGGTTGAATGACAATCACTGAAGCGATAAGGTTAAGCGATAAGAGAATTTCTTTTCCCCAAGTGCCCCTCCCCTCCACCCATCACTACCCCTCTATCTACTCGTATATTTCAATAATTAACCTCACCTCATCACCTCATCACCGCCACTCCAACCTACCACGAATTCCACTACCCTCTTTCAACACGACCTCGGAATTCTCTCATCATGTCGCCAATCCCTATAACTATCCTTACCGGCTTCCTCGGCTCAGGGAAAACAACATTAATCCTCAACCTTCTCCCACAACTACACGCCCTCAACCCCTCCTACCGTCTCGCTCTTCTCAAAAATGAATTTGGGGATCTAGCTGTCGACTCGCAACTTGCTTCTTCATCTTCTATAACTTCTGTGCGGGAAATGCTCAACGGATGTATATGTTGTAATCTCGTCGGTTCTCTATCTTCGGCGCTTCAAGAACTGCAGGAAAGTTTACCAGTCAAAGTCAATGAAGCAACTGGGGAGGAAGAGAAGGGGAGTTTGGATAGAATTATAATCGAAACATCTGGGTCGGCTTTTCCTGCTACGTTAGCCATGGAAGTTAATAGAATTGCGAGGGAAACAAAGGGGGCTTATGTATTGGATGGTGTGATTTCGGTGATTGATGTGGAGAATTGGAAGGGGTATGAAGATACGAGTTATACGGCGAGATTACAAGCGAAATATACTGATTTGGTGGTTTTTAATAAGTGGGAGGGGGTTAGTGAGAGAAGGTTCGATGAATGTCTAGATAGGTTAGGGGATTTGGAAGTTCAGGTCGCTTGGGTCAAGAGTGATAAGGGATCAGTGGGAGTAGATGTTGTGTGCGGAGTTGACGGGGGACTGGCTAGGGGGTTGGTTGATGATGTTGATGGAAAGGAAAATGGTCATAGTCATGATCATAAGAATGGCGATCAGAAACACGAACACTCTCACGACCATCAATCCGAAGTCGAAGTCCTATCCATAACCCTCACATCATCTTCTCCATCCTCAGCAATATCTCTCGCTCCCCTCAACAAACTCCTCACCAAAGCACCCAAAGATGAAGTATACCGCATCAAGGCAGTTTTATCCTCAAGTTCTCCTATTCCACCTTCCGATTCTTCTCTCTCGCCGCCCGAATCTGACATCTCTGCATCCTCATCCTCATCAAATTCTACTTCTGATCTAACACCAAAACCTGCAAAGTATATACTCAACTGGGCTTTTGGTCGTTGGACAAGCACAAAAATGGAAGAACAGCAACTGGAGAAGGAACATGAGAGTAGCCAAGGAGAAGGCGTAGTACTGAGAATGACGATTGTGACGGCGAGAGATGAGAGCAACAAGTGGAAAAAGAGAATTGAAGGAGGTGGTTGGGTGGAGGTTGATGGTGGAGAGGGACAATTGAAGGTTGTGAGAATTTTGTGATGATTGAAAGATTGAATAGAGATCTGTAAGAGGATAGACGGAGTGTGAAAATTGGGATACGTGATGCATAGATACCTTGATACAGTTTTAGAAAGAGACAATATTTATACCTAGTATATACTACATACATAGTTTTGGATAGAGAAAAGCAAGAAGGAATGATAAAATGAGCGCGCGGTTCATCTGGGTACTGAATCATCAAATGCTTGGTTATGCAAGTGCACGTAATTCCAAACTTGACAGCTCTTAATATCTAGTTTCCCAACCTTTTGAAGCTATGAGTTGATTGGTTTATGGATATGATATCTTTTCCCCAAGAGTATTTGGATGTTCATGGCTGGTAAAGTTACTAAACCAGTATCTTCAACCATAGCCACTTAGATATATATCCATTACCCAAACAACCTCGCTTCCTCCATATCAAATGATGTCTTAGTGGTGCCGTCGGGTGGTCAAGCAATTTTTCGCTCACCCGTATTTTCTTGAGGAATACGTTAGGATTTGGAATGCATCGGGATTGAATCCATTAGGATTTAGCACTGGTGTAGCGACCAGAAAGGTCCGGAGCTCTGGTTGAGATATGGATGTCTTTTTTTTGCTGTTTTTGCATTCGATTCTAATCATGTACTTTCTCACAAGTTGACCAATACTACAATACTACAACAGTAATTACTCTTTTTCTTCTTCTTTTTGCACTTTCAGAGATACCCACGCTGATATATATGGGGGCGCAAGAAAAAGGAACCACTTTTTCATGGGAGAGTCATGTTGCAATTCACTCTCCTTAATGAAAGCGAGAAAAGATGCCTATTATTTCTGTCTGACCTTGTCATGTGGAGCCAATACCCCTCTCCCAGCTTTCTCCATCCTCCACTTCTCATTTTCCACTCATTATACAATGTATGATTCGATTTTTCGTTTGTCTTCTGAGCTTCTTCATATCTATGTAACAATACCGTCACATCTATCTCGGTGTATCAATCACGAATCAAGGATCTCACAACCCTATTGAAAAATCTCGATGGCGCGGTAGAAAAGATACATCAAATACAAGCTAATTTGACACGTTTTGGATTGGAAAAATTGTATGTTAAGCTGAAGAATCAGTGGGAGAATTCGCTTTGTGAAT